GGTTGGTTTCCCTGAATGTACATCCTATAGCCTCTGATGGGATCAATGAAAACATTTAAATATGTGAAGGAAATAAAATCCAGAGGAGCTCTACACAAAATATATAAACAAAAAATCTAAATTAAATGACAAGAATAAACATAGTATTCTAAATAAGAATAATTTTGGCTCTTAACCCAAACTTGGCTACAAAAACACAGCAGGATAGTATTTAAAAGGATAAGTTCGTTGTTTTTTCCCCCCCATAATGCTCTGTATATTTAACTACTCAGTGTTTTTCCGGGTTCAATTCCCCTTCAGGTTTTTCTGCATTGAGTTTGCATGTTCTCCCTGTGCGTGTGTGGGTTCTCTCTGGGTACTCCGGCTTCCTCCAACAGTCCAAAAACATGACTCTCTAAATTCTCCTTAGATGTGAGTGTGTGCGTGAATGATTGTTTTGTCCTGTTTGTCTCTGTGTTGTCCTGCGATGGACGGGTGACCTGTCCAGATTTGACCCCGCCTCTCACCCGTAGACACCTGGAGATAGACATTAGCTCCCCTCGTGACCCCAGCTGGGATAAAAAGCGTGACAGAAAATGGAATGGAATAAAACAAAAAAACAAGGATTCAAATTATTGATCTATTGATACGTTATCTAACCACCTGTGTGACCCGTCTGTATCGTTAGACCCAGTGTGTGGAATCACGCTCGGTACGGTTTCATCGCTTTGAAGCTAATCCTAAATCAGATGGTTCTGTTTTTAAAAGTGAAAGGATAAGTAGAGTTAATCCTGCTCTACAGGTTCCACTCGCACCCATGTGAGAGCTTCTTCTAGCCCTGATCTCAGCTTGCAGGCTGCAGAGATCCATTAGAGAGTGGAATAAACTTTAAGGTATTGTGCTGCTTCTGTTTTTATGTATGCAACTAAAGGATAAGAAAGAAGCGAGCAGCTGATGGTTCCTGTTATTTTAAAATGTCTCTGATCACTAACGCTCTTCTTAATGCACGTATTAAAAAGCCGTCCTCTATGAGAACTTGCTCACTACAGATGATCTGGTTTATGTTGAAGCTTTGGATTCGACCCAACGTTTGTCTCTTGAACCATAAACAGGAATCATTCAGTCTGGATCTGTGCAGATTGAACCTGATAGTAGTTGAACACAGAGTGCTTTTATACTCTGGTTACTTTGCTCTTTTCAAACAGGCCGTTGTCTTTTCTAAACAGGCTGTTACCCACCAAAGTCGGACAGGTAGTTTTTTTATAAAATCTTTATTTTTCTTTCTCTTTTGAAAATGACTGCTATGTAATTTCATATTTAATGGACACTTTTGTTTTTTATTCAGATATGAATATACTGTAACACCTCGAATGTTGGTATTTTAAAACACTAGTCTAAAGAAAAGAGAAAACTTTTCTTCCTCTCTTAAAATCAGATTAAACTTTTTATGTTGGTCAGTGTTACCTAAAGTATTTCTATCTGCAACATCCCCAGATTAATTAGGGAGTTAATTTATGATGATTTCTCTAACTTGAGAAATGTTAATACATTTCCTTATAGTTTAATAAATTAATTTTGTTTGTTTTTTCCACCAGAGAATAAATAATTTGATAGAATTTTGTCTATTTCTTCCTGATGACATTCTGCAATTGCAAATCCAGAATACAGACCAGTTTGTCTTGAAGTCATGTTGGATCTAGTTCTGCAGCTGTGAAGCACATGAAAACATAAAGTGATAAAATGAGGAATAACTGGCTGAGAAACTCTTGATTCATTTTTAGTGGCGTCTAGAAATCACTGAGAGATTTGATCTGATGTGATGTGAGGCAGCGATCGGCATCCAGTGGATCTGGTTTCAGCTCTTACCTGCTGACAGATTATCAGTAAGAAGGTGTGCAGCAGTGCGTTCTGTCCTCCCTGACCTCTTCCTCTGACATAGCTGATGCTTATTGAGGTGTGTTCAAGACCACGGTCGGTTGGAACCCATGTAGACATACCCGTTTTTTGTTTTTTTTCCACCCTCAGAATGAAATCTTTTGAGCAAATCCTGCTGGTAGTAGTTTGACTGTAAGTGGTGACCAGGGTTGATTATCTGTCAGACCAGCATACCACGTCAGACCAGCATACCCATGGTCAATATGCATGCGCAAGACATCAGATTTGTGTTTATCCCTTTAGTTTGGTATGAAAAATAGACTTTGAATTACCTCGATGGGTGTGTAACCCTTTAGTCTTCAAAAAACACCAAAAACTAAGTAATTAAATAGTTTTTTTGTACATGACTAAAGGTATACACGCCCGCTGAGGTAAGTTAACCCTTTAAAGCCCGATCCAAGAATAAAACAAAACAGAAAATTACTTTTTTTGGTTTGAATTCCTTATTTGCCCTTTTAACAAAATATGTAAAAAGAAAAAACAGAAATACATTTTTGATATTATAATAATTTATTACTATGCGATAAGTCAAGATTATTTTTTGTGTAGTCTTCTACTAGCTGTTATCAGGTATATCTGATTGTGTACAATAGGATTTTGAGCAAAGTTTTCACCATTAAATTATGCAAAAGGTGTCAGACGCAAAACATTTCAGAAACAGTATGTATCAAATATGATACATTTGGCATTACAGGGTTAAAGTCTGTTTTTCGTACAAAACTAAAGGGATAAACTAAAAGGATATACACTCACCGGCCACTTTATTAGGTACCCCATGCTAGTAACGGGTTGGACCCCCTTTTGCCTTCAGAACTGCCTCAATTCTTCGTTGCATAGATTCAACAAGGTGCTGGAAGCATTCCTCAGGGAGTTTGGTCCATATTGACATGATGGCATCACACAGCTGCCGCAGATTTGTCGGCTGCACATCCATGATGCGACTCTCCCGTTCCACCACATCCCAAAGATGCTCTATTGGATTGAGATCTGGTGACTGTGGAGGCCATTTGAGTACAGTGAACTCATTGTCATGTTCAAGAAACCAGTATGAGATGATTCCAGCTTTATGACATGGCGCATTATCCTGCTGAAAGTAGCCATCAGAAGTTGGGTACATTGTGGTCATAAAGGGATGGACATGGTCTGCAACAATGCTCAGGTAGGCTGTGGCGTTGCAACGATGCTCAATTGGTACCAAGGGGCCCAAAGAGTGCCAAGAAAATATTCCTCACACCATGACACCACCACCAGCCTGAACCGTTGATAGAAGGCAGGATGGATCCATGCTTTCATGTTGTAGACGCCAAATTCTGACCCTACCATCCGAATGTCGCAGCAGAAATCGAGACTCATCAGACCAGGCAACGTTTTTCCAATCTTCTATTGTCCAATTTCGATGAGCTTGTGCAAATTGTAGCCTCAGTTTCCTGTTCTTAGCTGAAAGGAGTGGCACCCGGTGTGGTCTTCTGCTGCTGTAGCCCATCTGCCTCAAAGTTCGACGTACTGTGCGTTCAGAGATGCTCTTCTGCCCACCTTGGTTGTAACTGGTGGTTATTTGAGTCACTGTTGCCCTTCTATCAGCTCGAACCAGTCTGGCCATTCTCCTCTGACCTCTGGCATCAACAAGGCATTTCCACCCACAGAACTGCCGCTCACTGGATGTTTTTTCTTTTTCGGACCATTCTCTGTAAACCCTAGAGATGGTTGTGCGTGAAAATCCCAGTAGATCAGCAGTTTCTGAAATACTCAGACCAGCCCTTCTGGCACCAACAATCATGCCAGTTCAAAGTCACTCAAATCACCTTTCTTCCCCATACTGATGCTCGGTTTGAACTGCAGGAGATTGTCTTGACCATGTCTACATGCCTATATGCACTGAGTTGCCCGCCATGTGATTGGCTGCTTAGAAATTAAGTGTTAACGAGCAGTTGGACAGGTGTCCCTCATAAAGTAGCCGGTGAGTGTACATGTATTGACAATGTGTACGGTCATTTGACAGAGCACCGGTCCAAGAAAACTGTGCGACTGCCGCAGGCCCCTTGCTTTATGATTATAGTAACAAAAACACAGTTTGGTGATCAAAATAGGGCACTATTACATTAACGTAAAGGGGGGAGTGGTAGCCTAGTGGTTAGGGCATTGCGATTGGAATCCAGAGTTTCAGAGTTCGAGCCCCACTCCCACAGACTGCCACTGTGGGTCCCTGAGCAAAAATCCTTAACCCCACACTGTTCCCCGGGCGCCATACAATGGCAGCCCACTGCTTCCCAAGGGGATGGGTTAAATGCAGAGAGTACATTTCTTTGCTCTGTACCTGTGACAGAATGCATCTTTGGTCTTGCATCTACATAGATAATATTTGTATGCATTATTCAGTTACATGCATGATGCATCATTGTGTATTTGATTTAATGTGTCTGCTTTAACTGTTGTATTTGTGCTGCCATTGTATTCGTTTCTCTCCCTTTCTCTCCCTGCACTTTGATCCAAAGAGTATAAAACGTATGATACTTTCACTGCAAATAAACTCCATACTAGTGTTTATTATTTTCAGCACACAGATAAGAGACTGTAAACAGTTTATAGTCGGTATGTGAAGGATCTGATTATTGCACTGTTTATGGTATTGGCAAAAATAGGGGGAATCAAGTCAGATTTAGCTTGGTCCATTCCTGGTGGTGACCTTAAACTAGAGGTTTTCTTATAACTGAACATGGAGAAATTTCCAGATGCAGTAATTTAGTCAGTTTCTGAGGGAAAACTGTAAACTATGGCTGCAGCCGTGATTCCAGAGGATTTGAGTTTATTAACTGACCCTGATGCATCCAGCGTCGCATCAGACAAGAAAACAGCATGACTTGATCAGTAGAGAACTTATTAACCCACACTGAGCAGTGTGTGAAAAGGGCATCTCAAGAGAAAAGCCAAAAATATTCATTTTAATACAACAAAGTGTAAAACAAATGAGAGAAAATGCCTGTATTTTATTGAATGAAAATTGTTTTATGCATTGCATCACTTTTCTGGAAAACTCCTCCCTCATCATCATCACCTCTGATGTCATCTTCTTTGGGTTTTTTTCACAGAAAACTACCATGTCAGCAGCTCTGACCGGAAGACGGAGTCTGTAGCGAATCTGCAGCCGCAGCCGTCCCTCAACTCGCTTCAGTCAAGCTCTCCGGGTCCCAAACGTTCCGGAAACCCTCTGAGAAAGTGGCTGCCGAGTTCCAGCCGCAAGATTAGCTCCGGCAAGAAAGTCCCCGGCACTAAACAGAAGAAGCCAGGTAAGATGCAGGAAACGTGATGGTGCACACAGTTCTCATCCAGACAGATTGTTTAAGCTGAACTAATATGGCGGTTATTGGTGAATCAAAAAGAGAACCAAGATGGGTTGTTGGCTGGTCTCACCAGGTTATTCTGTTTTTTGCATCAGCATCCTACTTTGTCAAGTATCATCTGTCTCCGTTTCCATGGCAGTGGTTTTGGCTGCACATACGTTAGCCTGTTGATACACCTGATATCTGTATCTATGACTGAGGAAAAACCTGCTCTCTCTTTTCCAGAACCTGGATCCGGAAGAGATGGCAGTGGAAAGGTCAATGAGCTGTGTCACCCTGGAAAGGAGGACATAGAAGAGGTAAACGGCGAGACAAGTGACCCAAACCCCCTGAATTAAGGAATATCTTTATTAGTTTTTGTAGATTTTAAATCCCAAATGTCTTCAGGTAGGAAATAACAATGGGTTGTTTTTGGTGAAGTTTGTGTTCTCCTGTAAAAGTTTGACTGTGGAGCCGTTTCTGTAAACTCCTGTCTGACCAGGTTAAAGGGAAACCTGTGTTGCTGTTGTGAAGATATTGACTCCATTTACATCATGGAAAGTAAACATGCAAAGTTCCTCTTTTTGTGTGAAAGGGTCACACACAACCACACACACAGACACACACACGTTAAGCCTACTATGCCCTAAACCTGACCATATCTACCACTAACCTTTACCTAAACACGATTTACACCTTAGAGCAAAAGTTAGCAAAGTGAGGCCCTTAAAAATGTCCTCACTTTGATACACAAATAGGAGCACACACACACATGCTTCTATGTTATCGAAGGATGACAAAAATGCAGTCCAGCATCCGTTGCGTTCCTTTGCTGCTTATGGTGTCCTTTGTGGAACGGCGATAGAAATCTTTGGTGAAACTCCAACGATAAGAAGAAGAAGAAGAAGAAAAAAAAATGAATCATCTCTCAGCTGCAGAGCATCCGACTGCTCACCGAGGAGATGTTTCAGAAGCAGGTTTCCCAGTTATGCAACATTACAGTACTTTGCATGTTTTTCCAGCCTGTAGATCCAGTTTAGAGCTGGAATTGGCTTCACCCCTCAATGATTCTGGTTATTATAGACAGCAGTGACTGAGCCATTCATGACTGGTATTAAAATAACTCCTGAGTCTTAGATTTCAGTTTCCTGTTTTACATACAAGCAAAGATGTGGACACGTCAGATTTGACCATCAGCTGAGCTGCAACAGGTCTGCTGGTGTCTCTGTAGCACAGAAGCTTTCACTCACTGGAATTATGTAAATATTTTTGGCTTTGACTCAGATTCGCCTCACCTAAATCTCTCTCTTACTGTTATGAGTTATTAGACTGCAGAATTGTTCAGTCTTTTAATAACGATTTACACTTACATGAGGAGCCACTGAAGAGACGCTAGGATGTGAGCGATGTGCCTGCATATTTGTGTCTGGGTTAAATAAGTGAGCAGTAGAGTTCTGCTCAACCTCTAGATGGCGATGGAGGTCTGGCTAATGCCTCCATACATTGACTCATAGTAGTCGAGGCGAGCTGTGATAAAAGCCTGGACTCATTTCCTCAGATCTCCTCTTTCTAAGATTAGTTTCACCTTTGCTATTTGGCAAAGTTAATTAACCCTTTTCTAAACAACAGTGCTGTTTCTCTACCTTAAAGTGGGAGTCTCACTTTAGCCCTAGAGGATGACACACACTCTCTGAAATGAAACGATAGTGAGCCAAGATCAACCGACCTAGACTTGGGCAGACTTTAATGTCATTTTGTACACACAGAATGTATATAAAAAGGAATTTGGTTCAGTACAGCTCTCAACTGTAGGGGAGGGATGGCAACTTGGTCCAAACAACATGCCTTCTGTCTTTTTCTGATTTAGACTAAGAGAAAGACCTGTTTTGATGTCATCAAGGCAGATTGGCTTTTAGTGTTGTAGTTTCGCCTCCATGCAGTAGGGGGCAGTGTTGTCAATCTTTAAACGATAGTTGCAGGAGTTAAAAAATTTGCAAAGGTTAAAAAATACGATAAATAGATGCCAGAACAGAAACATGACACGATCCAAACAGGTTATAGAACTGGATCTTTTTATTTTCCACTTTGTTTAATGGTGACATGATGAAGCGTGCATTTTATATTATTTTATTTTTCAAAACATGCCAACTTATCATTACAGCCATTTGACAGAGTTGTTTTTAAGGAAGAAGCATTGCTGCATCTTATAATATTTCACTCAGTGATAGTTTAAAGGAATAGTACACCCAAAACATGATTAGCCTTCATTTTCTACTCATCCCCATGCTGAACAACACTCTGGAGTACTTTTTTGATATCTCAAATGCATCTGGAGATCTGGGAGGCTTCTTGCTGTCTGCTGACATTCAAATAATGGAGGTCCATGGTGCTCGAGACAGAAAGGTCCATAAAAGTCCACAAAAAACGTGTCAATATTCCTCCATACTGCTCGTCCAATGTATTCCAAGTGTCCTGAGTGGGTAGCATCCAGAATTTACTCGAAACGAAGTCATTTAGAATGTTTTTAGAGCATAAACAGTAGTGTATAGGATTTCCTGAAAGCGCGCGCCTGCGCGTTCGTGGCGCTACGGAAACCGCGGCAGACCAAACCAGATGAAAGTGCGCATTCAGCTCGGCAAAGAACTCATGCTCTTCCTCAACACTGAAGTCCTCAGACATTTTTCTTTCGTTGTTTCTTTCTTTGCACAGGTAAACAGCACATTTCTTCTTCTACGCTTGCATTATCGGCAGAGCAGACCCCGAATGCGCACTTTCATCTGGTTTGGTCTGCCGGCTTCCGTAGCGTCGTGAACGCGCAGGCGCGCGCTTTTAGGAAATCCTATACACTACTGTTTATGCTCTAAAAACATTCTAAATGACTTCGTTTCGAGTAAATTCTGGATGCTACCCACTCAGGACACTTGGAATACATTGGACGAGCAGTATGGAGGAATATTGACACGTTTTTTGTGGACTTTTATGGACCTTTCTGTCTCGAGCACCATAGACCTCCATTATTTGAATGTCAGCAGACAGCAAGAAGCCTCCCAGATCTCCAGATGCATTTGAGATATCAAAAAAGTACTCCAGAGTGTTGTTCAGCATGGGGGTGAGTAGAAAATGAAGGCTAATCATGTTTTGGGTGTACTATTCCTTTAAATTACCTGCTGTTCCCTAAGGCGCCTGCAGAGGGCAGTGTGGCCTCAGTTCCCTGGTGAGCACTGAGAGCACCCATTCAAATCAGCTGAGCAGGTTATTATTCTCTCCTCTCCTAGGCTGCCTCCAGGGCAAATTGTTTGCATCTACCGCAGCGAGAGTGAAGGATGAACACAGTTAACTCAGACGATGTCTAACTGATGTTGTTTGCTTCAGCATTGAGTTATCAGTGAGATAAATGGTTAGGATTAATAGAAGGATGGATGTGAATGCTGCACAGAACCAACAGGACACAGTGTGGATTCAATCAGGCTTTATTGTTTGGTTTAATCCACTACATGCCACCACAGACACATAATTATCTTATAAACTAGACTAGTCGATACGATGGATGTTCTTCATGAGCTGCTTCATGTCTCCTGTGTCAGAGGGTAAACATCAAGGAGGGAAACCCATTATCCAAGTCGTCTGCTGGGATACAGAGCGGCGGCGAGGATGAGCCAGAGCCAGACGATGAGCCCCACCTTCCTCTTCCTCCCCCTATGGAGATCATGAAGGACCCCTCAGCTTCAGAGGACAAGGTAACGGGGACGTGTTCATTGTTTTTCTTATCAACCTGTGCTTCAAAATAAAACTCTTCATCTAGTTTCTCTGTTTTGCTGATTAACAGCTTTGCTTGTCTTTAAACTGTTTTCTTGCTGCATGCTTTCCTCCTTTCCTTCCGATCTAACCTGCTGCTCCTTCTGCCTCCCTCTACAAGCCTTCATCCTTGTTAACATCTCTGCAGTCGTCCTCTGACGTCCCCAGTGCTGCAGAGCTGGTTAGCGCCATAGAGAAATTGGTCAAAACCAAGATGGTGAGTGACCAGCTAGAGAGTAGAATTGTGCTTTCTAAAAAAAAAAAACATCAGCATTAAAAAAAAACAAAAGCCTTTTTTATAAGAGCCCACAGCCAGCCATCAAACCACCACCTCTTTGTACACAGCCTTTATGGGTAGAAATTCAATGGCAGCTGCTCTCTGAAACAGGCTCAGAGGTGTTGATTAAATCCAAACGTCACGTTTTTACGGTGGCCCTGAAGTGCAAACTGCAACTACAAATCTAAAAGCGCAACTACATTAAGAAAAACAAAACTACATAAAGCAAAGCGGAAGTCATTCTGCCTGCTTCGGCTTTTGAAAACATGGATATTGTTGGCGCCCCAAACATAGCTGCCATTATCCAGGAATATTTAGAATCAGGACATACGTACGAGGTGATACTGGATATGCTCAAGACTAATCACGAAATTTCACTTACTATGCATACACTGAAGACAGACTTAAAAGAAGCTGGACTGTTCAGATGATGCAACTTCCGGTTCAAGGGTCAAACGGCGCCGTCGTCCAATCAGCCACGTCTCATGTTTCCCACTGGTACCTACCTTTTCCAGTAGGTTAATGTAATTGTGTTTTCCTTAATGTAGTTGCGATTTCCTTATTGTAGTTGCGCTTTTAGATTTTTAGTTGCAGTTTGCACTTCAGGGTCACCGTACATTTTGCATTAACAAATGATTAAACGCATAAAACACAACACCACATCAAGTGAAATTTGTTGTGAAGCGTTCTGAAATAATAGACCCTATAAACCACGGCAAGAGTGCAGCACGATAACTGTTCTGACTGGATGATCACGTTTCCCTCGTCTCATGAGGAAAACCTCCTCGCTGTCTGACCACTGCCAGTCAAAAATACTTAAGCATTTTAGCACATTTTTAATGCAGATTAATGGCTACATATATGGTAAATGGACTGTACTTGTATTTTTCAAGACAGGAGACTTGATAAAAGGGCTTTACACTACACTCAGTCATTCACCCATTCACACTCACACTGATGTGTGGCCAGCTACATTGTAGCCACAGCTGCCCCAGGCTCACTGACAGAAGCGAGGCTGCCATACACTGGCGCCAACGGGCCCCTTCACCTGCATCAGTAGACAATGCAGGGGAAGTGTCTTGCCCAAGGACACAAAGAAACTGAAAGCCAGCGGCTGGGCTTGAACCTTTAACCCTTTCGATTTCAGGGCAAACTCCTACACCCGACGCCACATCAAAGCCGGGCATACACTGTGCGATATTTTCAATCGTTGCACGCAGCTACAGGACAAACTCTACGACGAAACCAAAGGGTCTAAAAGTTCACAGCTCAAGATGCATGTTCTCACACTGTGCAGTGTGACACTCTGATGCGGTCTACCTGCTCGCACTGTACGTCCAAAAACCGCACGTCGGACTCGGCGTCGAGTTGGACTCGTCAATCTAGAAGAAGAACTCCCTTCTTTGCGTGTGTGCAGTGCTCAACGTTCTGGTAAATCGGCTGCTTCAACAGCCGGATTTGCCCAGGACCGCCTCGCGACGGCCGACTGAATTCTAAACATGTTGGATTTTCTCCGGACCTTACGATTCCTGATCAGGAGGGGGGCGCGGGAGGCTAATCGCCCCTCCTTACCCCCTTTATACTGCATGGCGCAGGATGCATGAGGAGGCTGAAACTTGGCCTGATCAAAAAATTCTCGCACGACTAGAAAATCTGCCCGAAGCGGGCAAAAATTGTACAGTGTATGCAAAGCTATAGCCTCCCTAGTATTGAATGAGAAATCACCATTTGATGGGTCTAAGAAAGGGAGCATTAGACCGACTCTTTATGAGTCCAAGAGTCTCTCCCTCGCAGCTGTAAGGAGATGGTAGCATTTAGCCGACAAGCGTACAGCTGCTGGTCAGTGAACTTTTCAACGCCATCAAAGAGTAAAGATGTATAATTAACTTTTTCAAAGCTCTTTAACAGAACATAAGATTTTACGGAGGAGACTTTGGAGGAGAAGCTCTTCTTTCCCACTGAATAATCTCTCTTTCAATGTTTAGGCCCATTTTACAGATCATATCAGGTTTCTTGCAAATGGATCTAAAATAATGTTCTGTTATAATCAGTAGGTCTAACTGTCCAAATTAGGATTTGAACCATTAAGACAATGCATTGCTGTAGGCAGAGTTTTATCAGAATGTCATGTATCTTAAAAAAAGGCCAATTTTTTTCAGAAATTAAATGTTTTAATTTTCTTTGCTTTTTGTAGTTTATGTCTCCAACAAATCCTTTGATTTTCTGCTAAACAACTAAAAAGTAATTGTAGCAAAAGTACTTTATGCTGTGCAATCAAAGCACAGTAGAGTCTTTAAATGGGGGCAGATTTGTTTAAAGTTGCTGCAGAAACGCGCTCTATTAAGCAACATGACCTGCAGTCGCAGTAAGCAAATAAGAGCAGCTGATTTTTGCTTCTGAGGAGCTCCTTTTTACCGCCGCCGCCCCCTGCTGTCAGGAAACATCAACATCCTGAATGTTTCTGGATATCTTTGCTCATTTGTTTTTGTGTCTTCAGACTGTGGAACCGTATCCAGGCTTCACTCCTCCATCTCCAACAACGGAACAACACACTCCAGTTCAGGCGAGGAACTCTGAACTGGACCAGAAAGCCAAAGCTATGAGACACCGGACGTAAGTACCGAGACATCTTATTTTACTACATTTTAATTTAAGGGCAGATTTCAGGTCAATCAAGGTTATTGAATAATATGTGAGACTCTGAGTCCTGCATGTTTTTAAGAGAGAAATCAACCTCAGGGTAAAGTGGGCGGGAGGTGCGAGAAGGAGAAAGGATGAAACAGAAGGTGTATAACAAAGAACATCAGGGATTTATGGAGGTGACAGGTTACTGACAGCTTTGAAAAGTGAGGACAGAGTTTATACATGAATGGGTAACTCTTATTTAATGCTCTTTTAATGCTCTTAGACATAATCTTAATGCCATCAACAAGTACCCATGACTTAATTTAAAAAATAATAATTTAATGACTTTTAATGACCCGTGGAAACCCTGGAGAAGGACAATTTTGTATGAGTTCAAAAAATTAGTTCTAATCATTATCTGTGTGTTCTGGACAAGCAAGAGGGATTTTGAGAGGAAGGCCTGCACTGCAAAAACTTTCTTGAAATAAGTAAAAATTTCTTAAATTAAGTGCATTTATCCTTAATTTAAGCAGGTAAATGGGATGTGTTACCATTGGAATAAGTATTTTTGCTCTTAAAATAAGATAATTAAATAATATGCACTTGAAATATGACATTGATATTGTATTTTTAATATTTTAAATGTAATTGGTCTTGTTCCATTGGCAAAATGCCTTACCTCCTCAATTTAAAAAATGCACTGATTTTAAGAAGAAATTACTTAATTAGATTTCTTTTTTTTTTTGCAGTGTGAAAGATGAGTTTCAGTAAATTAACCAAGAAGTGCATAAATAAGGCTGTAAGAGAAGAACAGATGGTTGATTTAAATTTCTGTTAAGAAGTACATCCAAAAAAACGGCGAGCTCTGATTGTTATTACTGCACTAAAACATACATTTTTTTAGGAACTCAGGCTAAACGGTTTATATAAATACTGAAATTAACTCGACATGTTGTTTGTATATTTTTTTTTTTACCACAAACCTTAAAAACCCTTTATATTCACCTCCAGCTGTTAAGAACAGCAGCGGGAAATCCCCGACAGGAAGGCGGCTGCAGAGAGCTGCTCTCAGTAAGACAGAAAAAAAAGAAAACAACAACAACGGTCCGTTTAGGTGTTTAATAAATATATGAATCAGGAAATTGTCTATATACCAAACCAAGTGATTCCTTTTCTCTACTTCAAAAAACTTTAGATTTTAAAAGGAAAAAATTTTCTATTTTTTAAAATATATATATATTTTTTTATTTAAAAGGTCAATGTATAACATGGATGCATAAAAACCCCATTTTATTTCAGTGTTAAATTCTGTTTAAGTAACAGATAATAATTAAAAATGTCTCCAGACCTTTAATGGTTTTTAAGTTTCTTTATTGGGACCCTGCTGACTTTTAATTGGTTACCCCTGATGTAGAGCGTCAAAGAAACTTGACCAGCACCCAGCGTTCAAATTTCGTAGTTTTTGACACCTAGTTCGTGTTCTGTGTGAACGCACCTTAAGGGATAAGATATAATTAAAGGCAACTTGGTGCAAGGAATTGTGTTTTCCTGTTTATTTTATGCGAGCCCTCTGAAAGAAAGCTTGGTAGTAGGATGTCATAAGGCTTAGTGAACTAGTAGGGCAGGACATCCGCATAACAGAGAAGGCAAATACCATGTTTTCTGATAATGAGACCATCAGAAGATACCAATTTTATATAAACAACAGAGGACCAATAACAGAACCTTGAGGACACCCAAAGATACATGAGAAATATCATAATTTAACCTTTTTATGTCGAACAAAACAAGAGGATTAGAACCAGGTCTAAGAGATGGCAGAGAAACCAAGCTGAGGATGATGATGATGATGATGATGATGATGATGATGATGATGATGATGATGATGATGATGTGGCTTTTTGTTCTCAGGTTTGTTCTGAACGAGCTCATTCAGACGGAAAAGGACTACGTCAAAGACCTGGGCACTGTGGTGGAGGTAAAGCTTCGACACTCGCACACCTCTGCTGTTAGCGGCACAATAGCTTCACCATCGGTGTTTGTGTCCCTGCAGGGCTTCATGAAGACGATCGAAGAGAAGGGGGTTCCAGACGACATGAAGGGAAAGGAGAAAATAGTATTCGGCAACATTCACAGGATCCATGACTGGCACAGAGAGTACGTCTCCCATGTTGATTTTAAATAATGGAGTAAAGAGAGTCTGTAGCAGCTGCTAACGTTCCTCTGATGCTTCTCAGCTTCTTCGTAGGAGAGCTGGAGAAATGTGTGGATGACACCGAGCTCCTCCCCGAACTCTTCATTAAACATGTAAGTAAAAGGAAAAGTTAGAAGGTTTGAGCTCTTTAATCCCTGTGATGACTGAGAAACGACCCGATGTCTGTGTTACAGGAGAGAAGACTGCACATGTACGTGGTTTACTGCCAGAATAAACCAAAATCTGAGTACATTGTAGCAGAATATGACAAATACTTTGAAGTAAGTACATTTTTTGTTATGTATTGTCTGAACTTTACAGAGTTTTATTTTTCCTAGAATACAAACGGACTCCCTGCAGCACTTTTTACCTTTTTTACCTGCTCATATCCTCCCAGAATAGTTGCTTATATCGTCCAAAGCCTCTAACCAAACCGTCTATGTGTCGCTGTTATTCTGCTTTCCAGGGAATCCAGCAGGAAATTCACTCCAAGCTTTCCGTCAGTGACTTCCTCATCAAACCCATCCAGAGAATCACCAAATATCAGCTGCTGCTGAAGGTACCAAGCATTCAAACCGCAGGAATCTGTTTAATAGCTTTTTAACTGCGGCCTGGCAGAGTTTGCTCATTATTTTCCTTAGTCTAGAGACACGGTGCTAATAAACGTGTAGCTGCATCTGAACTGGTTTTGCCATATGGGGCCCCGTTTGTAAAGTTAAGCAGTCAAAATTTGACAGGGGGGTTAATTTTTCCAAGTTATTTTTTCACTATGTAAATCATTCATTTCTAAAAATCTTACTTTGTTAAATAAATATTTAGCTCCAAACTAAATATTTAATATATATATAAATAAATATAAATATTTATTTAATATATATATAAATAAGTTAAGCAGTCAAAATTTACAGGGGGGTTAATTTTTCCAAGTCATTTTTTCACTACGTAAATCATCCATTTCTAAAAATCTTACTTTGTTAAATAAATATTTATTTGATAAATAGATATTTAGTTTGTTAAATAAATATTTAGCTCCAAACTAAATATTTATTTTGCAAATTAAATATTTAGTTTTTTTTAAATACATATTTAGCTCCGAACTAAATATTTAGTTTGCAAATTAAATAATTAGTTTTTTTAAATAAGTATTTAGCTCCAAATAATATATTAATTTAACAAACTAAATATTTATCTCCAAACTAAATATTTAGCGTGTTAAATAGATATTTAGTTTGTTAAATAAATATTTAGCTCCAAACTAAATATTTAGTTTGCAAATTAAATATTTAGTTTTTTAAAATATTTAGCCCCAAAAAACCCCCTTATTTTTCTCTTAAAAGACACTAAATAACCAAAAATATTGCTCCTAATTTTTGACTGCTTAACTTTACAAACGGCACATTATAATCCTATCGTCATGAACGGTAAACTACGATTTATGGAGTGTTATCCACTGTCTTACGACGCCTTGCAAAAGCATTCATACCCTTTAGCCTTTCACATTTTCTATTTCTGAGCACAAACTCTATAAGGATTTGATGTGATGAACTACATCAAAGTGAGACATCGTGAGGTGGATGCAGAGATGAATGGTTTTCTTCATTTTTTTCATTTTAAATACATTTATATTCCTCCCCTTTTAATTTCAAATAGAGGGGTTGGATTTTATATTCCTCCCCTCTGAGTAGATGCAGGATAGAACCACATTTAAACAACCTGCAATTAAAGTTGAAAGGTCTCCAACAGTTTTGCACATCTAGTGATTTAAATTAACACCTGTTCTTTTTTCACAGAACAGATCAAGTAGATAGAAAACATTTAAGAGCCTTTCTTTAAATCTAAAATCTAGGACTGGGTTCAGGTCTGGAGCCGGTCTGAGTCTCCGTCCCGTTCGCAGAGGAATGAATAGAGCTTGGTTTATTGTTTTATAACCTACTGTAACTCTGCTTTAAAATGATCTGCAACTTTGTTCTTGACCTTTCTGCAGTGTTCCTTGTTTTTATGATGCTGATTGTTCACTAATCACATTCCACACTGCTTCATTTCTAAAGTCCTTAGAAAAGTGCTGATCAGAGAGCTATAAAAATAGATAAAAGGAATAAAACGGGAATAAAAGGACTGACTTAATAAATGGGAGCTGCATGAAATAAGCAGGGAAAACGACCCAACTCAGAAATAAACAGTGACTTCTAGCTGTCAGAGATGGTTGCTTACAAAGAAAACTTCATTTATACTCCAAACTTTCAGACTTAAAATCCTTAAGAATAAAAGTTTTGTACACCACAGATCTTTGATTAACTGCAGGGATCTTTGATGGAAAGCGGCTCCAGAGAAGCAGCAGGGGGAGAATTTAAAGTCTGTTTAAGACGCTTTAATTTTTAAGGTGTCACACTTTGAAAGCTCGGATGTTGAAGAAAAGACGGACAGGTGAAGGAACAGCTGATCTGAGGGGGGAACGTAACAGCCAAGATCCACGAATTCCAGAAACCGATTGGAGCTGGTTCAGCCAAACTAGCCTCCAGCCTTCCTAGTAGCCTTCCCCACATAGCGGGATGGGTGTGATGTCATTTTTCATCTCTGATACAAACTGTGGATCGAAGGACTCGTTTCATCTCTGGGTTTTTATAAACCCATCTTTGATCAGTTAGTGGAAGAAGAATCGAATCAATCTGTTCAGTTATTTCCTCTGATTTATAAGATAGATTTACTTAATAATGCTGCCTGCTATCATCAGCTTCTGATCATCAGTTGCTACGGTAACTGTGCCAGGATGTTAAACGCAGACATTCTTTTCCCCAGCAACACACCCATCCATCAGGGTTAAATGAGGTATTTAGTCCCTGCAGAGGAACTGGATGTCCTTCATGGTCAGATGAGCTCGTTGCACCTCATCAGGGGAAAACCCAAGAGGAAACCCATTTAGCCCTCTGAACTTGTCTTTCAAAGAGCCGATTTTTGACATGTATGCATTAACACAACAACAATGGCCGACTTCAAAGCTGCCGTTTTGTTTAAGAATCTAGGCTTTAGAAGTTGTTGGATTTATTTTGGCTTTTACACAAACTCATTCTCTACCTGTATGGCAGCATCACTGCCCCACCTGCTGGTGTGTCAGGAGTATTACATCCCTTGTTACGGCTCCTTTTACACTGTGGATGACACACCAGACCCAGATTATGCTGGTTTGATTCCTCCGTAGCTGGAACACACTCTTCAGTCACATTTAGAATATTTGAATTTGTAAAAGAAAATAAAAATATTACATAATAATTATATTTTTATTTAAAAAAAATGACCCACAATTTTTTTGGGTTCATCAAGGGTATGAATACTTTTTCAAAGTGCTAATGTTTTGTGTGTCACTGTGTAAATTTTGAGCCGTTTCTCCTCAGGACTACCTGAAGTACAGCAGCAAGGCAGGAATGGACTGTAAACAAATTGAGGTAATCCAAGATTCTGCATCCAGAATGTGTAAATATGTCTCCTGAAAAGAGAAAAGTATTTATCCTGCCTGAAGAACAATGAAAGCCTCTGTTGTTACAGAAAGCCGTGGAGCTGATGTCCGAGGTGCCTAAACTGTGCAATGACATGATGAATCTGGGCCGGCTGCAGGGATACGATGTGCGTTTTCACACCAACGTTTTCACCTCCGCTGCATAGCCGGAGGCTCTCTGAAGGTCGGGTTTTTAAAGCCATCCCGTTTGTCTCTGCAGGGAAATCTGACCAATCAGGGCAAACTGCTTCAGCAGGAAACCTTCTTCGTCACCGAGCAGGACGCGGGTGTCCTCTCACGGTCCAAAGAACGCAGAGTCTTTCTCTTTGAGCAAATCGTCATCTTCAGTGAGCTGCTCAGGAAAGGCTCGTCCACTCCTGGCTACCAGTTCAAGAAGAGCATCAAGGTGGGTGGATGATGCAGATAATCGGGTGAAACTTATTGATCTTAAAGGAGCTCAGAGCACAAAGCGGTATTTTCTCCCACAGGTGACCAATCTGGGCCTGGATGAGATGGTAGATAACGACCCCTGCAAGTTTGTCCTGTTCTGTCGTGGCTCGTCGGAGCGTTTCACTTTGCAGTCTGCAAATGTCGACATCAAGCAGGTGTGGGTCCAGCACATCAAGAACATCCTGGATGCTCAGAACGACTTCCTGTCAGGTATGGACGCCCAGCCCATCCAAAAACACAAAACATTGAACCTCTGTGAAATTACATAAAGGACAACTCACCCCAAAATCACAAACTGTGTATCAGGATTAGATCCTCCTTCAAAGATCCTATAAGATCCATCAGAAACTGTAGAAGGGCAAAGTAATTCAGTTTATCAGGGTCAGAAAAAAGCTGTAATACTTTGTCTGCAGTTAAACAAAAACCACCAACTCTAACCTTTATGTGTTTGCAGCTCTGCAGTCTCCCATCATCTACCAGCAGGGTCAGAATAAAGAGGTCAGCTCCTCTCTGATCAGACGGCCTTCCTCATCAGGGAACCGGCCATCATCATCCTCCCACAGCCGGCCTTCCTCAGCCCTCGGCTTCAGTGAGAAGGACCTGGAGAGAGGGAAGAGCCCTTTGAAAGTTTCTACCTCTAACGGCGGCTCATCTAGCTTTGAGGCCAGCGTAAGTTCCTGCATCTATCTGTCTGTCTGTCCATCCATCCATCCATCCATCCATCTGAACTGTGGTGTTCCATCTGCTTTTAAATTTCCCATCCCATGGTGATAGCATGATGTGTAAACAGTCTAAGGAACCGAGCCCGGTACGGTTAATTGATCCAAGCTCGGTCCGAACTCTGCACAAATCACTTTTCATAGGGTAGTGTAAATGGGGCTACTGTTTGCCTGCTCATTTGATCTATGAGCTGCTGGATTTTAGTTTGGGATCATTTTAACGAGACATGGTGTCATCTTTGACCTGCTTATTGGATTTGAAGCCAAAGTGTCATTAACAGGTACAACCAGCATTAGCCAAACGGCTCCACAGCATTGCGCTGCCACCGCTGTGCTCAGCTGTTGGTGGAATGTTCTCAGCAGTGATTCCTTCCCAGTATATTATTCTCCAGATGATATTTCACTCGTTGATGTAGCCGTTCTTCCTCACCTCCTCCTCTGCCTCCTGTCCTCAGCACGATGACGGCGGCTGTAACGGTCTCTACTCCACCATGCGGGTCACTCAGGACTACTCTGCGCTCAAAGAGAACGAGATCTGCGTCAGCAGAGGAGACATCGTCCAAGTCCTGGCCACCAATCAGCAGAACATGTACCTCGTTTTCCGGCCAGCCGACAGCCAATCACCGGAGGCCGAGGGCTGGCTGCCGGGCCACGTTCTGGGCCCGCCCACAAAGCCCATAAAAGACTCTTTCTCCACTTCCTCCTTCCCAGCCGCTGTGGCAGACGCCAACAACATCAAGTAAGTCCACCCCCCCCCAGCAGACAGACACCACTGGACTGGATGAGCAGGGTGGAAGCTCCATCTGCCTGGTTTGGTTTGGGTTGTTTTTCTTGAGTGGGCTCCTAACTCCTCACTGCCTGTGTCCTCGCCTCCTAATTCCTCACCTCCCCCCCTCCTGCTGTTCTCAGTTTGGACAGAAGGATTTCCACTGGGAAGTCCACTCCATGTGGCCTGAAAGCAAACTAAAACACACACTGATCCCTCAGTAAAACATGTAGCTGACTCTGACCCAGGTGTCCATGTGGAGCTAAAACCGGACTTTTTTTCAGTTCTAACAAACTGCTTCTTTTGTACCTTTTTTTTTTTTTTTTTTTTTTTTTTTACTGTTTTTGTTGTTTGTTTTTTTGTTTTTTTTTGGACAGAATAAAAGTCACCTGGCCTTTCAGGTGGATTCTGTTCTCCGTAGAGGAGAAGATTGATTTTGTTGTCTGTGGCAATCTGTAAACATTTTTGTTGATTCTTGTTTTCCTTCTTGTTAATTATTATTTTATTTCTTAGACAAAGTTGGATTTTTTTCCTGCTTTGTGTTGATTTTTGTTCACTGTACAGAGTTCATTTTGTTATATCTGACTGAGGCTCTAGAACATTCCTGTTAAAAAAAAAAGCCATTTGCACTATATATGAAGATAAAAAAATATGAATGAATTCAGGCTGTGCAATATGTTTGATTCAGCGGCAGCGCTCAGCTTTGTTCTGTCCGTAGTCTGATAAGGATTTTAGCTGTTTTTTTCTTTTTGTTTTGTTTTTTTAAATATGTAAAATAAAGCTTTTGGATATAAGCATGAGTTAGTGCAGAAGCGTGAAGGTGAACATGTTTTGTTCTGCTTTAGAATGAAGATGGTATGTAGTTTTTAATATTTGTAAATAAATAAGAGCAAATCGAATATCTGCCTGAATTTCTGCACACAGCAACTATATTTAATTTATTAAATCTGAGAGAAGCTTTATAGGCCCAGCATGGTTTCACTGCCTGTGTTCCTCACTCTGGTGGCTGCAGGTCAAATCACCTCCCAAACATTTCCTACCTTTACCTGTAGGTCAGGTCCTCGCCTAACCGACTGATTCAGGTTCTAAGCAGAAACTCCAGCCATGAAGAACATCGATATGAGCTTAAATAATCAAAGATGCACAGTTAAGGTCACCAATCTGCTTATATTCTACTGTGGGAACAACAGCAGGACATTGTTTGATTTGATCTAAAATAATACCTCATATTTATTCAAGTTAAACTAGCATCAATAAAAGCATGTAAGTATATAATTCCAGCATGGTTTTTTCTAAGTATGAAATGCACGGTGATGACCTGACCTGGAGCCATCTGAGGTTTATTCAGAGATAGAAGTGTGACTGTCTGCACTGTTTACTTCTGTTTTGTTTTGTTTCTGTAGTGGCTTTTTTTTGGTTCAGTTTGTCTTTGAGTTGATACTAACCTCCACGGTTTGACACTCCACAAGAAAGGCAACCATCAGACTACAGCATAAAAAAATCAGAGCTAAGCTTTGTTTTTTTGCTTGTTTTTTTTCTTGACCCCAAAAATGAAGATTTGAATCTTTGGAGGCCAAAACTAATTCCACTAAAATGTGTGCGCCATCTCCTGGACGAGAAATGCTTCGTTTGAAGCTTCACCTTATTTTAAAAAAAGAAAATCAAGAATTAAGTTTTATTCAGGTAACAAAGAACATCATTTGAGCCACATTATAAACAGATTTTAAAAAAAGAAATCCAGGTCTGGTGTATTTCAGTCCCATTACTGCCTCTATTATTAACATCATGATGATAAAAAGCAGCTGATCCTTTATTTGTGATTCAGAGAAATTGCAGCTTTCCTCATCCTAAACCAGGATGTGTCGACAGTGGAGAGGAATGGACCGAACCTTCAGCAGAACCGGGCTCGGTTTGCGCTGCCAATCCGGGGAAAGGAAGCTTAGTCAGAGCTTCAAAGAAACTGACTCTAGCAAAACATTCATGGGTTTATGGACTAAAGGGAAACGATTGCAGGTGAAAAGTACATTTCTGAGGATAATCTCAGTAAAAGGGTTTCAGGCATTTATAGAAGTATCTGACAAAGTAGATAGAACGAGGAATAAGCCTCTTTTTTTTAGAGACGTTTTGTTCATAACAGTAAAGTGGTGTAAAATGTCCACATTTAGGAGTGATAATATTTTATATATATATATATATATATATATATATATATATATATATATATATATATATATATAAATTAAACATTTTAGTCCCTAATGCGTCCTGTTAGAGGTTCTGTTTGGAACCTGTTGTTTAGGACTTTTTTGTCTACAAGGAAAATCCAATTCCAGTTGTTTCAGGTTTAGATAATGCCTTTTTGAAACTGAGCTCACAGCACCTTTTTTTTAAATCTGACTCCATTATGTCTGAAACCGATTTCAGTCAGTTTTTTTTTACCTAACATTTTTTTATGATGTTTACCTGTTGGTAGCTCACACCTGGTTGCCTCTAATTAATGCGTAGTAATTAAAATAAAGACCACTGAGTATTTATACCACTTCAAATCTGTACAATTCCGACCGGAGCTTTAACTACAGAATGAATGTAGATTTTCTATAATGGCCATCAGGAAGCGGTTCGCACGAGAACTAAAAAAGATAGTTTACCCAAAATAAAAGCCTGAAAAGTGTGGAGGTCATTTATTTTTGCTCTGTTTAATCTTGATACCCCAAAATGAAAGCCAGTGCAACAAGCTGCCTTCAGACGCGCCCTGACTGGTAAATGGAGTCCATCTTTGTGAAATCAACAGTATGAGAGAGGAGGCGTGTTCACAGTTTGCCGTATATAGAGACGAGTACTATGCAGCAAAAAACGGAAGCATGTTTAAAACGCTGCACAGGAGAGGCAGCTGAACATACCATCCACAAGATACATGGAGGTGGTGGCATCATGCTGAGGGGATGTTTGTCTTCAGCAGTGGACTGCCAGCTGCTTTGTACATGAAAAAAAAGAGATTTAAAATGGAAATGTCTTCAATGTGGGGGGATTTATTTTCAACCTTTTGTCCTTTTTTCTTCACTTTAAAGCTGGCAGCTACTTTCTCTTAATTTATCACCTAAAATTCAATGAAATCCAGTTACCAGGTATAGTTTGAAATGTTCAGACTATACTGGCAGTTTCCTAACCTTGCTATTAAACAGAGATTCTCTTTTTCCTTTAGTTCCTATAAATCAGAAGAAAAATATCCTTTGTTTAAGTTACAACCACTTTTTGAAAAGAATCATTGTAAATATAATCGTCAGGTTCTAAATCACAACATATTTTACACCATCACTGTTTAATGAACCAAACCAGAGCAAAATGAAAAAGCTTTCTCTGGAAGCTAAGAACAAAGCCTTAATGCCAAGCAGTTCCTTCTATAAAAGCCAGTTTGGGCAAACGGCCGGTCTGAAGCGTGGAGGTACGGCATCTGGAACGCTCTTTTCCTTTACAGCTGAGCTCTGTTTTTCCTCTACACTCATCAATTCTGTCACCCAACAATATCCAGAGTAATAAAAAGTAAGATTTCCTCAGTCTGTGCTTTAACACAGCCACTTTTAGGGGGGTTAGGACCATGAACAGCCTGGACACAGTAATGCTATTGATTCTTTAAATTTTCATAGGAGGTTTACAAAAAATAAAATCACTTAGTTGTTCAATCATTTGGGAAAAGCCCAGATGATGAAAAGTCATTTACAGCATGGAGGTCAGACTGAGCGTCTATGGTTGTGATTTAGGGCACGACCTCAAACACACCTTTTCCCGACTCAAAATAATGTACGCCGGTCACTGACCGTGACCAAGGCACCTTACAGTAGAACTGCCTTCAGTCCCTGGACAGGCATTACTATTATCATCGTGGTGGGCCACTTCTTTGATTTTATTTGGTTTGCTCAGCAGAGGTTTCAAGTAACGAAGTACAAATACTTTGTTACTGTACTTAAGTACACTTTTTAGGTATCTATACTTTACTCCACTACTTATTTTTCTTCCTACTTCAGACTTCTATTCATTACATTTTCACACAAGTATCTGTACTTTCTATTACTTATATTTTAAAACAAACGTTACTCGTTACTCTTGGCTTCGGTTTAATGTTTATAAATATTTATTTCACGTCATGTGCTCCATCCAATGCAGATCATTGGCTCCATCCACATCTAGTGAAAACTAGGGTAATTGGATGACTCATATAACGCAAACACTCATTGGTTAGCTAAAGGAAATCATCAGAAGCAAGCAGGTGTTCTTCAAACTGCTAACGTGAATTGTCTATGCCATGCTACAATGTGGGATTCAGAAAAAGATGTTGAAATGTCTGAAAGGTCGGACACAGGCCAGAGCGTATCGGGAGAAGGAGACCAACAAGATCTCCGTCATCCTTGGCCCTATCTCAAAGAATTTTTCTAAATAGTCAAAAATTGAGCTTTCAATTCATATAGTGGCATCTGGCTGTTTTTTTTAAAGGTTACTTTATACTTTTATACTGTAAGTAGTTTTTGGAGCACATACTTTTTCATTTTTACTTTAGTAAAGAGGTCAAGTTGATACTTCAACTTTTACCAGAGTGTTTTTAAACTGCAGTATACTTTTGACATCACTGTTGCTCAGGCTACCTGTAAGCCCACAGGCCGCCGAATGTTGAAAGGGCAATATTATTGCCATTACTGTTAATAAATGGTAGAAATTTTACACAACCGGTACTAAAATGTCACCGGGAATGGTATTGGGGGGGTCATTTAAAAAGGGGGATGATTTTTAAGTTTTTTTTAAGAAGCGGATACCATCCCCCCTTAACTCGAATACTGTGTAGGATTAAAAGAAATAAAACTTTTTTTAAGTCTGGTCAACCTCTGGTTGGCTCCTAGTTGTTCTAGTCTTCTTTAGGAACAAAGAGCCTCGGGAGGAGTCTAAATATTGAACAGACTCCAGCCATCCGTCAGGAGGTTGATGGTCAGACAATATAAGTTGCATAAGGATGAAACGGTCAGTCAGTATAGTGTATATTATAGGTTAGAGTTAAGAAGGTGTGTTGATCAAAGCGTTCTTGCATCTTTAGAGCAATTTTAAGGCACTTTAGTGAAAACGGTTCACTTTAAATGAATCGTTGGTGTTTTTACTCATCATCTTTCTCTGATATTGCAACTTGTTTGAAGATCTGAACCAATTATTCAACCATAATGCAGCTAAACATCTAATGGACAATGATCCAGAAAGCATGAGCAAATCTACAGCTGAGGGACTGAAATGTGCTGGAATGTTCCAGATTTCTTAACCCCTCAGTGAGCTGAAGTAAAGCTCCATTAAGACTGGTTTAAATTTGCTCCACAACATGGTTAATAATACAGATGTTTAATAATGGCCCCTAAATGCATGGCGGCTAAGATCCGTTGTTTATAGAGACTCTAGGATACTTTTTAACGTTTTAAAAGCACAAATAACAACAGATGAATACATTTTCTTTTTAAACCTGTGACTATTTAAAAGAACAGCATAATGAACAAGCTGTACTGCAAACTGAATAACTGAAGTCAAAACTTAAGCAGAAACTGATTAACTCAAAAAAATTGGAGTCAACTAAATCAACTTTTCTACATTAGGAGGAACTATGAAAATGTTATCTTAAGTGTATAATTGTTAGGGTTGTTAAGTTTCCCCAACTTTAACCTATGAAGAAATAAACAAAGACAGTGTAAGATTTTTCCTGACTGGGCTTTGCAAAGGGAAAATACACAGAGCTTTGGGATCTCTCTGTGCATCTTCGTCTTGCTCCACGCTAGCAGGCTTATTTATTCAGCAGTCAACACATTACAACAGCAGGTGTTAGTTTCGATTACGCAATCTCTTAGACATAGCATGAACTTTTAAGATAGGGAACATGTCTGGTTTCAGTATACACTTTTACAAAAGGTGTTGTGGGTCATGAACTTCCCTTTCTATCTTTCTCAAATGAAAAACAGGAACTTCTGTGCTTCATTCTCGCAAAACATTTGACCATCTTATGACCTGCATACTGATGACAGTACCATAGAAAAACAAATGATTTAAAAGCAATATAAAAGATATAAATGAATAAAATGATAAAAACAATAGAAATCATGATAACTCCAACAATATTTTTGTTTCAAAGAGTCAACTTTAAAGATTAAACATTTTGATTTAATGTTTAGTTGTTCTTTTTAAGTTCAGATTACTAAACAGTTATTGCAACCAATTATAAAAGAACTATTAGGCTTATAAATATTCTGTAATTTACAGTTAAAAAAATGTGTTTGGTTGACAGAGGAGGTAAAACAATGTCTGTGTTTATATCTCAGTTAAATGAAGAGACTGTGGTGTGACTTTTGTTCCATTATCGTTGCAAGCAAAGAGCATTTTTTGTGATTGGAAATCTGAAAACAAAAAAAAAAAGGTTTTTAAAGGAAACTTTTTCTTAGATTTTTATTATATATAAAATTTTACTTTCTTAAATTTCCCTTTTTTAGATTGAGTTTTAGGACTAGCATTCTTTTAAAATGCATTTGACAGTTTTCATTCTCTTCACTTCAACACCAAAAGAGTTGCTCACTCTTTACCGATAGAAATGTTGCTAACGTCCTACAGACCAACAGCAATATGTCTTCTCACCACCACCAGAGGAGAGCATGTCCTAGAAATTAAGACAATGCAATCTGTAAAACTGTTTGAAAAGAGAAAAAAAAATAGCATTTCTAAATATATACGTGGTAAAATAAATAACAAAATAAATAAAATAAGGTGAAAATGGAAATAAGATCTGCACAGGATGGATTGCTAGTCTATTAAAACCCACATAACTAAGGTGGCTGGTGCCATTTTACTGAGTGTTAATGTGATATTTATTATTCTAACAGACACCATTGACCATGGTAACATTAACCAACAGCAGTTTTCACACTTATTGCTAATTGCTCTATGTCTCGGTCTAATGTTGATCTGAACAAGGTCTCACCATTTAAAGAACTTTTCATATCGACTTAAATACATTATCTTATTGAGGACTTTTGTGCAAAATTTAAAACACTTATTTAGGATTTGTTTTCAGTTAAAACCTTTCAATACACTAAATGTTTGGTTTTACTATCTAATAGAAAGGTTTGTTTTTAAAATGTTATTAAGGACCTCAATGACTCAGAATGATTGGTGCTTAAACTTGCAGAAGAGAAATGTGACCTTTTAGATTTTTCCTGTTGAACATCTGCCTGATGATTGGACATCAAGAGCTGCAACATCCACAGGAGATACACTGCAAAAATGATCTAAAAATCAGTAAAAAAAAGTCTTAAATTAAAGGTACTTACCTTTCAGTTGAGTAGGTAAATAAGATGATCTGCCAATGGAGTGAGTAGTTTTGCTCTTAGAATAAGATAAATAAAATGCACTTGAATTAAGACAATGCAATACTTTTTTAGAACTTTTTTTAATGTAAATTGTCTTTAGGAATTTAAGACAAAAAGGCTCTCATTTAAAAAAAAATACTTATTTAGATTTAAAGTTTTGCAGCGTATTATTACATCCAATTCAATTCAGTTTATTTATATAGCACCAATTCACAGCACATGTCATCTCAAGGCACTTTCCAGTTCACCAGATCATCCAGTCAAATTGATTCAAAGTTTTCTATCCAAGGATCCAGCAGCAAACCAGGCTCTGGGGATCACAGCCCTGTATGCCTGATCTCCTTGAATGTTTAAAATCAACAATGTACATCATCTTATCAGAAGCAAAGTAAAAACAAATTGATGTCTCTAAAATAAATATTAATATTAACTCTGAACTGTAGAGCAGGGAGCAGAGTAAATAGTCTGATGACCAAATTACCTGCAGTTTAAAACATTAAACTGATGATCAGGACAACAGTTTTCTTCATTTTATGTCCAGTGAAAACAAAAAACACTTGTAAGATTTTCACTCTTTAATCTCACAGAGCAGAACAAGATGCTTTCTGGAACCTGATTTAGATCAACTTTTGTAACTAATACAAGATATCTACCATGAACCTTTCTTAAAATCAACTAGGAAACACAATTTTTTATATTTCAAAAAAATGACTGTTAGCTCTGAGACAAATGTCTTCAAAGATGTTTCCTACAAAGCCGGATGGTGAATCTGCTTTAAGCTACATGGATGATTATCCAGCATTGCTACATTGCAACAGAGAGCATCGGGGGTGAATAGCTGACATCCCTTAACATGCTCCCTAAAGCAGCTTCTCCTCCTTTAACAAACTTGCATTATAATAAAACATGAGCAGACTGATTGGTGGCATCTTCAGCAGAACTTGCCATCTTTGCAAAACTTGATGGAATAAAAATGGCGGCTTTTAAAGAGACAGTTAGTTTTATTTAGAAAAAGAAACTGAACAAAAGATTTAATTCAGATATAAATGAGTTTAAGTTTGACTTCAATAATCATTGTGAATATGTCTCATGTATTTATTATTTTCCTTCTGACTGAAATATTATTCAGTTTAAATGTGTGAAATAAAAAAAGAACAACTTTATACTTGTGGCGTACAGTAAATCCTCCAAGAGGTAAGTTGCAAGGTTTTATCTTTGAATTAAAAAGAACCAGTAGACATTGGGATACTGGTCCGGCATGAATTCACAAAACCCAGAGAAAAACGAGCAGAAAAAGGAGATACTGTTGTCCTTAAAACTAGATAATACATGCATGATGGTACTGGTTAAACTGTAAATTACTTCTGTATCTCTAAGGACTCCCTCTGTCCAGCTCAGTCTTGGTCTTTGAGCGCTGAAGCCTCCATGACTCTGGTCTCTGGAGCTACAGCTTCATTCAGGAACCAATACTGACAGGAGAAGTCACTGTTATCTCTTCTGTGACAGAGAAAACATATTCCAAGGAAACAAAGTTGTTATGAAAGGTTTTTCATTTATGTTTTAAACCAAACTTTTGTTTGTTTTGACTATCTGATGTCTTTGAACCCTACTACAGTAGTAGCCATTCAAAATGTATCCATTTTCCTTGATGGGTCCTTGGATGGTCCCCTACAATTCCTTTTTAAACATCAATCTTTGAATTAAAATATTCTTTCTGTCATGATTTATGAACATTAAGATCAAAAGAGAAGCGTCATCTCCTGGTCAGACCCTGTAGAGTTAAGAAATATACAAGAGTCCAGTAAATAGAAGTTGGTGATTTTGCTGGGAGTTGGAGAGAAGTGGGCTGACATTCCCCTGGCTTTTGACTGGGAAGGGCCATTTTGAATGAGTGCTACTGTACAGTACAGTCAGTAAAATCTATATGGGAGACCTTAAAACAAACAGGCATCCCCAAAGTCGGTCCTCCAGGGCCACTGTCCTGCAGATTTTAGAGGTTTCCTTGCTCCAGCACAGTTGATTTTAATTGAAAGCTGATTAACAGGCTTTTGCTGAACTGCACTCATCAAAATCAGCTGTGCTGAAGCAGGGAAACCCATGAAACCTGCAGGACAGTGGCCCTCTAGGACCGACTTTGGGGATGCCTGCCTTAAAGCAATCAGTTTCAAAATTTGTATTTTTATCTCCTGTGGCAGCAGGTCGTAGTGACAGAAATCCTTTACTGCCATCAGATTTCTCTTGTTCTCACCAGACAGATGTTGCCTCTACTAAGCTGGACAGAGCTGATCTAAAATATAATTGCCTGCTTGATGTTTGTCCTTCCTGCGCTGCACAGGAAGTCTTTGTCATGGAACACGCTGCGTGCCAGGAAGCGAGCTGAAGCCAGGGACGGGTCCTTCCTGGGGTTCAGGAGCCATGACAACAGCCTCCTACGTAAACCCAAAGATGGCACTGTGTCCCCTCTCCCACTAGCCCTGCCAAGCTCCGCCCACAGGACTAAAGTGAGTATGTTGAGTAAGACAGTGATTTCCATACCAATCATGTGTCTTCAAACATCCAGCCGTTCTTTATTTTTCCCTTCTTACGTACAATCAGAGCATCTGTGAAACTGATTTAAAATCTGTCTGAGACTAAAAGTCTGTAATGGAGCTAATCTGAGCAGAACACCTTTCCGTCCTCCAGACTTTTATTGCCTTATTTATTTATTTGTACACAAGGAGAAATAAAAAAAAAGCTTATATCAACCAGAAACTAATCTTTATGATGGCATTTTGTTTAAAAGCAAAATTTAAAAACTATTATTGATTTGTATTAAATCAACCACATAGATCAGAAAACAAATGGATGCAGTGATTGGATGTAAAAACGATTGGGATACATTGTTGATTAATTAGGTTTTTAATTCATTTGCCTGCATAACAAGCAAATCCCACTTTTCTCACTTTCAGCTGCATTTGATTTATCACATGAATTAGAATTTCTGAATGCTTTAAATGTAAAAAAAAAAACAAAAAAACAAACAAACAGGTAGTTGCCCCTGGAAGACGACTTCGAGTGCAGGAATTAGGAGGTTAAACCTAAATTTAAGTTTCTATAATAAATATTTCCCATCTACATTTCTCACTGTCTGCTTCTCATTGGTTAGTTTCAGACTCTACCACCAGTGTCAGTGAACAGGTGTCTCCCTGGTTTAATGCGTTTCTACATTGATATTGCTAACAGTGAACACCTCTGCAGCCAGCTGGTTCTCAGGTTTGCTGTTGGAGCAAAGCTAAGCAGGTTTCTTCAAAATGCTCCAAAAGCAATTGGAGGGCATTACAACATGATGACATTGGACACTATATCTCTTGAAAATTTTCATAAAAACAAAACAACAAATATGAAACAGCAAGTGAAACCAAAAAAAGTTAATTAAAAACAATCCACTGGACTTTGTTTCCAAGTTTGAAGATGTTTCGCTTCCCATCCAGGAAGCTTTTTCAGTTCAAAATTTCAGGAATAACTTTGAGTTCGAGGTCCTATACAGTAGCCCATCAAAACCTTTTTTATTGTTTTGAAAACATGCAAATTGAGATGGACAAACAGGTTCAGCCCTTTGGAATGGTGGTGTTTTGGCTCTTTTGTTATCCTACAACGCCCCATACCTGTCTATGTCTCTGAAAGGGGGTTGTTAAAGGGAATTGTTGGCCTGAATGAATAGGCGAGGTCCTCCGCTGTACTGTACAGGGCCTGGGGCTGTTTTTCTTTCTTAACATAGACGGCTTCCTTCACACCCCTCTGATCCACCTATTTTCTTTGTCCAGAATGTGAACATTCTGGTCCTTGTCTTATCCAGAGGAGGTTGCTCTTCTGTGTTGGTCCATGCGTCTGTGGAGAGGTTGTTTGGTTTCTCCAGTATAAAGATCAGAGCATTCCTCACTGCATTGAACTGCATACACCAATCCAAAGTGACTTTTTTTCTCTTATTTCTCCTCCAATTTTTGTATTAATAAAAGTTTTATATCCTTCAGTTCAGGTTTGAGTAAATGTTCTGTTCTAAGCTCATCATTTGATAATGTTTTGCATGAAGGTCAAATCACGTTGAACCTTCAACAGTCACGTTTTTGTTGTTGAATGAAATGGATTGGGTTTTCAGTAGGAGGAAGTGAGAAAAGTTATTTCTTAATGCAAAATATTTATATGGTTCAACATCACCATAATGATAAACAGTTAAGTGAGTGAAGACCTCAAACAACCGATCCGAAATGAAGTCCAGTCAGCTAACGGAAGAAAGATTGTTATTAATCTTGATCCTCTCTGAACAATTACACTAATTAAGCCTCAAAACTCTGATGTTCATTCACTGTGAAAACTGATATTTGGAGAACAACCTTTCCTCACATTAACATCCACATTTCTGTCCCAGATCTCATTCTACATTTAGATTTAACTAACTCAGACCAACTACATCATGTTTGGCTCTTTTCTGCTTTCCTTGATTTGTTGGTGACTTCAATCTGATTAACCTTTTCTTACACAGTCTTTATGTCTGGTTTCTCTGCTGTTCACCAGGACCTGCAAACTTCAGATGAGTCAGAAAGTGAGGAAGACCTTGACCCAAAGACAGGCATGGAGGTAACAGCCGTCTAAATAGTCTTGTCAGGGTAAAAGTGACAAGTAAAGCACTTTCACTCCCTCAGAGGTTTCCACTTTTTTTGTCATGTATAAATGCTTAGTTTTACTGGCCATACCCAGGCCTGATCACTGCCAGACCTGCAAAATTAAGAGACCATCTAAAGAAAGATACCAAAATGAAGTAGGCAGAAAGCTGTCAAAAAGTAACATTTGTGCTGATATATATGAAATTCAGAATGGGTAAGAACTAATCAAATAAATACTTATCAGTCTTTAAATGTACGTAGTCATGTCATTTGACATTTTTAAAATGTGTACGCCAACTTATTAGTTGCATACAGCTTTTTTAAGACAAATTACAGCCTCCTGGTGTAGTATTTGTCATTCTATACTAATTTGTTAGTAAAAAAAAAAAAGCTGTTCTGTGTATATTTATGATTACATCACCATGTAACCTGGAATATGTCACTGTGTTGGTCCAGTTGGTCAACAAACCAAAGCAGTAAGGAAAAAAAGAGGTCCAAAATCGAGTGTAAAAGCAGCAAGATGCTAAGGAAACAGTATGACCGCTGCAATTCACTGAAGTTAGAGCTAAACCTAAGGAAGCATCCTGACATTGCTGCAAAACTGATAGACATGTTAGTACATGTGTTAGCAGTGTTTTCAAGCCCTATCCTCTAAACTGTTTTAAATGAGGCATCACAGCATGGTTGTGTCAGCCGGTACTTAGCTGCATCAATGGGCGTGCAGGTGGTGCAGTGGTTAGCATGCATGACCCATGTACGGAGGCCTTAGTCCTCGACGCGGCCAACCTGGGTTCGAATCTGACCTGTTGTCCTTTGCTGCATGTCTCTCCCTAACCTGACTCTGCCAGATGGATTTGCTCTGCATATCCATCTGGAAACCTTCCGTTGAAGTAAATTTGAGAAGGGGCGAATATACTGGTTAGCTGATTGGCCTATGTTGGTGATAGACGGGCCAAATAAACCAATCAGATCAACGAAGCAACGTACTAACAGAGCGACGATGAAAACACAACCACAAGCCAGGCACAAGCCAATTGATAGATCAAACTCTTGCCGAAACTAGTCGGGAGAAGAGCAAAAACATCTTTTCCTCAGAGAAAAGCCTCCAGAGCAGTGTTTTGCTCTTTTTTCAGTGAAGAAATACTCGGTAATTCCGATAAAACTTGCTCTATAGCCACGTTAACGCTAGTTTCATCGGCTGAAGCCGCCATGTTCTTTAGACTGAACTGTCGTGCTTCTCGTTGCGTCACACCTCAACCCGCCTCAAAGCCAACGCTGATTGGACGTTCATTTGGTGAACGGCTCCAAATTTTCTTTAACGGAAAGTAGCCAGACTGATCTGCGAGTGAAACCTTGAAAGCTCGCGAGATCAGGATGGTCTCACGAGGCTAGTCTCTCTTCCTCTCTCATACCCTCTTTCCTGTCAGCCTACAGTGGAAAAAACGAGCCACTAGTGCCGTAAAAACTCAGCGCCAAGTCTGTTTGTGTCAGCTCAACACGCCCAGTGCTGTGGTTCTATTTAGACTGAAAAAGAACACAATCAGGATGGATGCTTGGAGCATTTACTCTTGTCACGATCAGCTGGACTTTGGTCTTTTGGGTGTAAGTGTAAAACCTGACTCTGTACCTTTGAAGGGTCACACATGTTCAAGAGTTTGGGACTTCAGTGACCCAGAGCTGTTGCAGTGGGCTGGTTGACCAAAGTTACTAGTTTAATGTCTGAACTTATTCAGGGAGTCACATAGGAATCAAGAAGACCATTAAAAGCATCGCAGACCTCATCTATTTCGGGCAGGGTTAATGACTGGTTGATAAGAAAGAGACAGGGCTAAAACAACAGCAGCCATACAGTCTCATGGACAAAACCAACACTGACCAAAAATAACACAAAAGCTTTTTTAATAAGACTTTTTTCAAAAATGTATAGACTGATGGAAGGAACCTCTGCCCCATTGCATCAAGAGTTTTCTCCAGGATTTAATGTGAGCACAGTGGAGGGCATCCAAAGAAGAATTTAATTTATTATCAAAGGAAAATCACATTAATGCAAACATTAATAACTGCCTGGAAGAAGAGTTCTTAAATAGATCTGGGTTGTTAAAATAAGTTATATTATTCTCTAAAATGATAAGATCTGTTTCAGTTCAAATTTTGTTTAAGTGTTGATGTTCACATTTGTAAATTTCAGCCATAAGTAAAGCTCTTTTAAAACTTTCCTATTTAAAATCTATAATTATTACCCAACAAAACTGGATTCTCATTATGTTGTCCCTTAATCTAAATTGTTTTGAGTAACAGTAGAGCTAGAAAAAAAAATGTATTTTGAGTTTCCATCTGTTGTGATTAAAGCATCAGGATGAGCTGAGTTATATGCAGTAAAAATGACAAAGGTTTGTTAAAACATTTATGACTAAATCATGACTGAGACCTTATTGAGTTTTCAGATGTTAGTTCACTAAATGAATGGGACTTTAATCAAGAAATCGATGTCATGGAGCACAAGTTTCAAAGCAAATGTTTTGTTTCGTGGTTTAGGATTTGATGTTTGAACCCTAACCTGTATCTGTAATTGTTTTTCAGCTTCTCAATCCAAACTTCATACAGACAGGTGAGAAACAGATGCAATCACATGATCCAGTACAACTTTCCAGCCGTTCATCTGGGACGAATTCTGAAAACTTTAACTCAGAGTTTATTAAGGTGTTATTAAACTTTACTGTTCACCAGATCATACAGTCAAATTGAAAGTTTTTTATGTAAAGAAAACCAGTTGATTGCTTCGACTCATTGACTCAAAGGTAATCCCTCACACTAAGCATGCTTGTAGCGACAGTGGAGAGGAAAAACTCCCTTTTAACAGGAAGTAACCTCCAGCAGAACCAGGCTCAGTGTGAGCGGCCATCTGCTGAGGCCAACTGGGGTTCAAGGACACAGAAGGAGAAATATAAAAGCCAACTGTAAAAAGGAGGCCCATTTTATCAATGTTAAAATGCTATCATCGGAGCATAATTTCTCAATCTAATCCAAATGTGTAAAAAGTAAAACTCCATTTTTAATCAAATTTGATCAAATCCTGAGTTCCTAGCAACCAGGTAAAAAAGTTCTGTGTATTACACCTTGAAACTTTCTCTCTCCGGTTCTTTACCTGAGAAGAGATCAAAATACATTTAATAATTTATATGTATTACATAAACATGAGACATGATTTTGACAGAAATTGTAATCTTACTCAGATCAGAGAATTTAGTTTGGTTACAGAAGGCAGTGCTCACCAACCGGGCTCACATCTCGTTAGTGTGGCCCCAAATCATAGTTAAAGAAGCATTTTATACAAACTCCAGTCTGCCACATCAGTACATCATTACATCATACACGTTAGCAGATGAGGGGACATCCATGGCTCACGTCTTATCAAAATGAAACACTTTGTTCTCAGATCAATGACACTGCTTTCATTCCGTTCCCAAACCATTGCCACACGCATAACAATGATGACCTTTTATCCGGACAGAGGAACCGTCCCAATTAGATAAACTACATGAGAAAAAATTATTTCTGACACTCGACTGGCTGCTATTATTAGGGTATAACAGACTCACACACTTCCTTAATTTATGTAGAGTAGTAACCATATAAAACTTCCCCACTTTCCTTGATGGTTCCTTGGCTGGTCCCCTACAATTCCTCTTTAAACATTGATCTTTGTGCTAAAATATTCTTTCTGTCGTTATTTGTGAACATTAAGATCTAAAGAGCGTCATCTTAACGTCATCTTAATTTTGTAAAGGGGTGGAGTCTAAGTAAAAACATATTCTAGAGGGGGTCACTCCAGTGGCTGGAAGTTGGATGGGATTTTGCTTAGAGTTGCAGGGAAGTGGCCTGCCATTCGCCTGGCATTTTGAATGGCTGCTACAGTAGGAAATAGTATAACAATCAAATAAAAATAGGTTTGCAAAATATAATATTACTCTTATAGATATTATCCAACTAGTACAAGAAAATTCTCAGACCTCAGATGAACAATCATGACAATCAAAATTAAAATCAAGTTTACTTTGCACTTACAAGGAATTTGACTTAGTGTCGATGGTGCAGACTAATCAGATATATGCTGCTTAAAATGGTTTACATTAACATTATTTTAGTGTGTACGGAATAAAAGTACAATGCATGTCTCAGAGTGCCCAGTGAAAAGATACCATTAATGCTCCAGCAATTCTGTACCTTTCTGGAGGAAAGAGCTGTGATGTATTTCCTGTGTTCAGTGGCTCCTGAATTCCTGGTCCCGCTATCGGATGTAGTTTGTGCATTTGGAGAGACGGTGGTCCTTTGCTGTAAAGTCTGCGGACGGCCCAAACCCTCTGTAACCGTGAAGGGCCCTGACCAAAACCTGGTGGCCAGTAACAGCCGCTTCACCATTGATATCAGGTAAAAGCGATCACTGGTGAAATCAGAATGCCACTTTATTTAGTTCTTTTCACTTCTTCCTCACGTCTGTTTTGGTTGTTCTTCTCTTCCTCTCCACTAAAGGGACACTGGTGACATCTTACTGAAGATCTGTAATGTGATGCCTCAAGATACAGGTATCTACACCTGTGTTGCTGTTAATGATCACGGCTCTGCTTCTTCGTCCGCCTCCATTAAAGTGCAAGGTGCCTCCTTTTTTCCCTTCTGTTAAACACTTCAACAATCATAAAACATGTTTAAAGGTGTATCTCTAATGCTGTTCTAATAAACTGAAGGTATCCCAGCGGCTCCAGGGAGGCCCCTGGCACAGGAGGTGAGCAGCACCACAGTGCTGGTCCACTGGCCCCCTCCCGCTTCATCCACTCATTGTGCCATCACCAGCTATTCAGTAGAGTACAGGCAGGAAGGTCTGTGGAAAATGCTAAATTGTTGATGATATTTAATATTCCAATCAGCCTTAACATTTCCTTCTCTTCACACTTCTTCGTTCTTCTCCACCACCCGTAGACTCGTTCTTGTGGCAGCAGGCGGCCAGCTGCAGGGAGGAGTGTTTACAAATCGATAATCTTATTCCTGGAGGTCACTATCAATTCAGAGTTCAAGCATCCAACCGCTGGGGGGTTGGCCCACCATCCCAACCCTCAAATATGGTTACACTGGCAAGCTGCAGTAAGAACACACACTGACGCACACAGAGAGATGGAACAGACTAAAACTGCAACTTTTTATATCTGCCTGAAAAATTATTTGGATGGATGGATGGATGGATGGATGGACGGACGGACGGACGGACGGACGGACGGACGGATTGATTGATTTGCATAAAACTAGACTAAGGCATCCAAATCTTATGGTGGGATATAAACACTGACCTGATCATAGGTGACTAGAAAGGTTTACCGTGTATACTTTAGGTGACGGCAACAACACCTCTTTAAAACCATGATATCAGTACACAAGGCTTCACTGTCATAAAAACTGATTCCAAATCCACATTTCCCCCCAAATAGCACCACACTGCAGTCAACCTACAGTACATCAGGTGGATGCCAGGCACCTGGGGGGCTCACTCCATCAGCTGCTCATTGAGCCAGTGTTCTGGTCTGACAGATCTGTGCATATACTGCTTTATTACTTACATATTCCTGCATATGCACTAGAATCAGGCAAAAGGCTATTTTTTATCTGTTGTCCCTGGACAGATCCTAAAATGTCCACCTAAAAAAACACAACAGTAAGAATTTCTACTGTGAAAAATAGAGCTATAAAAAGAAGGTATAACTCCTCAAAACTTGTTTAAAAGTACAGAATTAATGTTTGCTAGACTACAGATTAAAAAAATTATCTATCTATCTATCTATCTATCTATCTATCTATCTATCTATCTATGGAAGATATTCAACTAATGCTGACATAACTTGTGTGTTAATATATGTTATATATATGATATATGATTTTCATAACCTTTCCAATCGCATTTAATTTATTCACAGCCTACACTCAATTTGCTTATTAACAAAGGAAACATTCTCTTCCAGAATGCTTGTTGCTGGTTCCGTGGAAACTGAGTAAAAACAATAATGCTTCCATTGAATCGTAAAACTCCACACAAGGAAAATCCACCAAATTTAAAGTTTTGATTTAGCGGTGAGACAGGAGACTAAACCACCATTAGCTCAATAGTTCCTTTAGCTCTTTAAATTACACTCTCAAACACTATCTGAAGAATGTGATGCCATTTCATTCGCAGCATCTTTTTTTAAAGTAATACAAATTTAAATCGAATAGGCAGACTTTTCATCAGAAATGTCCACACAAAAAGGCTTAATATCATGTTTTCCACACCAATTGCCTCCAAATGTCTGAAACGTCTGACCTTAGACCCTCTCGTTCTTCTGCTTCCTCTCTGCTCAGATTCTGGTTGTGATGGAACAGGGATTCAGTGGAAAGAAAATTTTGAATCAGCCTTCACAGAAATCAACGAGATTGGAAGGTAAAACTTTTTTAAATTCACCAGAAAACTAAAAACAGGAACAATAATTTGAATTGCTGATCTCTATCTCTGTTCTTTGATAAGGGGGCGCTTTTCAGTTGTGAGAAAATGTTTCAGCAAACCAGCAAAGAAAGAGGTAGGACATGGCGTCACATTGTGAAGTTTCTATTATATCCTACAGCCCAGGGTTGCAGTTTTATATTTGAGTTTTCATGTCAACTATATTTGATGATCTCTATAACTTTTACAGTAGACTGTTAAAATTCCTGGCTTTGTGATCTTTCTTTAAAAACTTCTGCTCCATTACAGAAACTTGAGAAAGTTTCTGCAAGAATTTCCATGAGTTTCAAAAAGCAAGCTTACATTAAAGCACTTTTTTCAGTTATTCCATCTAGAGCATCTCCTGCATGTGCCAGAGCTGTTTGTTTGAACAAAAGCCAAACATGTGATCCTCATGGCTTGATTTACTTGATCAAATCAAGACTGGTTTCTCTCCAGAGCACAACTTAGAGCCTCATGGGCCACTGTCTGCACATATTATCCTTATGTGCCCATGTCATGCCCACCATGATGCTGCAAGAGACTAGGCCACCCCTACAATTTCAGACTTTGCTTGATCTTTATATATATATATATATATATATATATATATATATATATATATATATATATATATATATATATATATATATATATATATATATATATATATATATGCTTTATTTTTCCTATTGTGATACTTTTAGTATACTGTGTTGAGATTCACAAATTTTTCACTGACATTTACTAAGTAGCTTCACATGATGTTAGTTTTTTTGCCTACATCTTTAAAATAAATAAATATTTGTTGTTGTTTTTTTTCGTGTACAGGTTGCAGTGAAGTTTGTGAATAAGAAGATGCAGAAGAAGGAACAGGTTGCACACGAGGCAGACATTCTCCGGCATGTACAGAGCCACCAAGTGGTGGTCCTGCTCGACACCTACGAGTCCTCTTCCTCTCTGATGCTGGTCCTGGAACTGTGAGTCTTACGGCACCAATTGGGCATAATTAAAGCTGAGTTTTATTGTTACAGTGCCACCGCTGTTTTCCTGGTTAAGACATGTTTACTCAAATGGCATCTCTGTCGAATCGTTGTTTGTTGAAGGCTGGAAGATGGCCGTTTGCTTGACTACCTGGTCGCCCATGATGAGCTGATGGAAGAGAAAGTGGCGTTTTTTATCAGAGAGACTTTGGAGGCTCTACAGCATCTCCATACTTGCAGGGTCGCACATCTGGATCTTAAGGTGATGAAAAGGAAAACATAAAAAAGATGCTTTTTTTTGTTGACTGGTTGAGTTGTATTGATTTTTTTCTTTCCCTTTCCAGCCAGAGAACATCATGGTGGATCTTAGAGCTCCAACTCCGTCCGTTAAGCTCATTGACCTTGGCGACGCTGTCCAGCTCACTGCTAACCGCCAATATGTCCACCTCTTACTTGGAAACCCTGAATTCGCCGCCCCAGAACTCATCCGAGGAACGCCGGTCTCTGTTGCGACAGACTTGTGGAGCATGGGCGTCCTGGCCTACGTCATGCTCAGCGGCGTATCGCCCTTTCTGGATGAATCACCAGAGGAAACTTGTGTAAACATTTGCCGCCTGGACTTCTGTTTCCCGGATGAATACTTCCGCCATGTGAGTCAGGCAGCCAGGGATTTTGTGTTGTCAGTGCTGCAGGAGGATCCCAGGAAGAGGCCTAGTGCCACTTCATGTTTACAGCACCCATGGGTGGGACGTGGGGGTGCTCAAGGAGGCGAGTACTCCAAGACGCCCCTGGACAGGTCAAGGCTGGCCACATTCATTGACCGAAGAAGACAGCTGCATGACGTTCGTCCTGTCACCAACATCAAAGGTTTGGTGAGCAGCAGTATGGGAAACACACTGTGATGGAGAAAGCGGTAAACATTCTGTCCATCTGTGTGCGCCATCGCTAAAACTTCTTCACCATCTACTGTCTGATGAACGCACGAGTGGAAAAGGTTCCTGTTTGTTCCAACATTAAATGTCTTGGTTCTGTATGAGTCGCTATTTGAAAAATAATAGTGTCTTCATCTTCATTTCCTAAACAACACTCCTTTCAAAGAAATCCTCTCAGCCATGTGGAGAGACACACAGAAACATTCTCTCCAAATCTTTTAAATCCTTATCCTGCTCCAAAATACACTTGTTTCTTTTTAATGCTCTAAAAGTACAGGCCATCTAGTTCTTATTTTAAAAAAAGTATTAACGATACCATGAATGCTAAGAAGAAACAAAGGCCTTTGAACGACAGTCGACCCACAGCATCACAGGTCCTCCACCATACCATAAGATGGATCTTTAAGATGATCAGTGAGGACCTCCATATCTTTATCTAAATTCATTATGTGGGTCAAAAAAAGAGACTGTTTCTGATGTGAATGTTATCCTTCATGTAGTAAAGCAGCTTATTTATTTAGAATTTGGAACTTAAAGCAAAAGTTGGACAATTCTAGTCATTATTGGTTTGTAGGACCGGATCATCAGAACGCCAAAAGGACTGCTGCTCACAGGAGGCACCTAGTTTTACAGCAAACTCACTCTGAATATATTTGAAAGGAAATGGGTTGGAGCAGAGTTTTTCATCCACTCTACCGATATAAAAGGATACCAACAGAAACCAGTGTCATTATGACTCATTAGTTCTGGAAACTGGTATGAATTTATTAGACAGGAGGCACCTAGTTTTACAGCAAACTCACTCTGAATATATTTGAAAGGAAATGGGTTGGAGCAGAGTTTTTCATCCACTCTACCGATACAAAAGGATACCAACAGAAACCAGTGTCATTATGACTCATTAGTTCTGGAAACTGGTATGAATTTATTAGACGTGTTTGTTTAGGATTTATTAAGTAGGTAGGAAAAGAGGCAGACGGCCGTGCCTTACATAAGCTGTGGTTCTTTAATATAGTAAAGTGGATGAAGCTGTAAAAGGAAACAAATTACCCGACCATAAAACGCACCGTGATTCTCTTTAACTGACCTTTAAAGGGTAGCAGGAATATTTGTGTACGGAGAAGATCTATGGAGAAGGAACCATGTCCCTTTTTTCAGTTGGATGGTACAAGCGCAACGACACTGGACTCTTTGTGACTCTTTGTGACTTTCTATTTTCAGTGTTAAGGACTCAAGAACATGTTTTCACAAACTGACCAATGTAACATACATATTTATTTTGTTATGATGATTTGATCTTGAATACAAAACAGTTCCAGCAGAAAAATATGTGTATCAGTAGAAGATGTTGTCCACTGTATGGTAAAAAACTACACACAGCTACAGGTTGCAGACTGTTAGATTAATGTCAGATTGTTTTTGTAGTCCTGGTTCTGTAGGACTGTACGTCCAAGTGTAACCAAGAATGTAAAGATCTTGTTTTGTTTGACACTGTAGAGATGAGAAAAAGTTCACTTCTTTTTCCACTGGCCGGACTGTAAAGCAGCAGATTTCAGGCCCTGAATGGCTGGAAGTCACACAGAGAGGACCTGTGGATCGAATTCAAGGGGAAAAAAAGGCGTCACCTCAGTTCATTAAACTGTTTACAAAGATTTTTGTGTAGAATCGAGGCGTGTAGTTTACAGAGCAGCAGAACTATCAGGGATCATCTACATGTAAAATCACCTGGGATAGGTTGGAAATCAGGTTATAAATACGTCTGTTTCAGGAAATGAAAACTTCAATATTTCAGTAATCAGGTAGAAAAAACATCACACCCATTTGGTTGTACATTTCCAGCTTCTACCAGTCACTGTGGCAAACAGCCTGCCTGTATTTGTGCTGATGTTATTTGACTAATCTCTGCGGCAGATGTTTGCTTTTCTGTTGCAAATGAATAATGAATGTATTTCTTAGAGAATGTGTTCAGTAAGTATTGTGTTTTCATTGGGCCACTTTCTCTACATCACCTGTACCTTAGTGAGCATTCAGTGTGCTGCAGTAGAAAGCCTTGATTTTTTTTTTATGCAGTTATACAATGATAGTTTAAGCATAAATCATCCACTGAGATAAATAAATAAGATCTGTTTGGATTCAAGACTGGTGGATTTCAGCCAAATCTGTTCAGTTACTCATAGAGTAGACAATCTAACCACACTTTATCACTTTCATTCAAAAATAGCAGCTTTGATCATTTGGTTGTAAACCTTCAAACTATTATCTACTCTTTATTATCCAAACTAATGAATTCGAAAGAGGGAGAAAAGTGAAATCAGTTAAAAGAAAAGACCCCTCTGTCACTCTTTACAATGCATGAAGCATCTTGGCTTTTTAGGAAGAGTATTAATGAAATAAATAAAACTATTAATTGGAATAAATACATCAGTATAATTTGTCTAAAATCTATTTACAGGACAAAATGTTTGTTTTAATATAGATTTAAATGACATTCTGTGTGTATTATCAGATTAAGACCTATTTAAAACCAGTCACTTCCTTTATTGTAAGGTAAACATGAGGAAAACCAGTGAGTAGCTTGATGAATTATATTCATTATGGATCAAGCTAAGATGATTGAATAAAGTGACGATAAGATTCACTCATTCTAATATGAGACATGTTTATTTTATAAAATAACATTAAGCTGAAAAAAAGGTTTTATGAAGTGGAAAATTAGATGTTTAACAGCTTCTCACCTCAGAAAAGTAGAGTCGGATATGAACAGATAAACTTTTCTTTCCAGAACCACTGAGTTTCAGAAACGGACTAATCTGCTCCAACTTCTGCGTAGATCTCACTGAAAGAGAAAAGCAATGCCGGTTTCTCAAGGAATTTCTTTAGTTATCACAGTGAGTTCCCAGACTGGATTTAAAACCAGATGATGTCAAATTGTTTCTCCAGCCTTAAGAAAACAATAAAAACAAACGGTTAAAGCTCTCCCTTATAAAATCCATAACATATGAAGTTGGGGACATTAGCATACGTCACACAGACCTGAGGAATTACTTTGTTTTTGTTCATCTCTGTGAGGTGGGCTGTGCCTATACCTCCTGCTACACAAAGGATTCTGGGAAACTGTATAGTCCGACCAATGCAGCAGAATGATGGAAGGTCCCTGTGAAACATGAACCAACCTTAGGAAGCATCCTGTTTCCTCTTCCTACCTCCTTTCCTATTGCCTTCACTATTCAGACAGCTCTGAGCATGGCAAAATAAAAAGAGTTCTTACCAACAGAGGAACACAATAATCAATATTTAAAACTCTCACTCAAGGGCAATTTTTAATGAATTTTAAGAGCATTCATACTGTAAGATCTATAGACCAACATTAATAGAAATCCTCTTTAAAGCATGAAAATTGTATTATAGATTCAGAGTTAGAGTGAAGATTATTGTTTTTATACAAGCAAGAACGTGTTCCACCAAAGACAGTTTTCCAGGTTTATCATTAAATGTATTTTTACTTATTAAGATCTCAGCACATTATTAATCATTTAAACGTTTATCAATATCTGGTGGGAAAATCTTTTTATGTATTAATGGGATCCATTTTTTTTTTCATTATTATTTTATGTCTCCACTTGTTGTTTCTGCCCAATTAAGTATTCCAGAGAGCAAATATATAAGTTAAAGTTTAAACCAGCTCGCAAAGAACAGAAAGAGGCTTTTGAAAGGCCTCAGAGACAACAGTAAAAATCTTGTCACGTTTAAGTTTTCAGTGACCGGGTCATGGCAGCCAAGGTCCATCCTCCTGAGCACAGTCCAAGTTAGATGCAAATTAATGACCAACCCGTTGTCCATCTGGGTTGTTGGTGTCACATCTAAATTATGATGCTCACAGGTTTAGACTGACAACAAGTGTGCACAACGAGCACAGTGGATGTAACAGAGCTAAAGTGGAAAAGTTTTTTTTACATAAATAAGTAAACCAAAAAAACACAAGATTTCTATAAAAACACAAAATTCCCAAGACTTTAAAGTAGGAACATTTTTTTATTATTATTTAAGTCCTCACTGACAAATACAAAAAAAAGCAACAATCACTTCCTGTGTCACATAAGGCCAAGTAAATTTTAGGTTTTATTATTAACTTAATTGCTGCGATTCAGTATTTTCTATGAGAGTTTGCTTCTAGTTCATTTCACTAGGTTCCCTGTTAAGATTGTAAATGTCAAATGAACTATAGGAGAAAAATCATGTTTACTCCACAAGTTAATGCAACTGTCCTAATATAAGCATGAACCAATATGAGGGGGGAAATGTGTTTCTCTTTAAATAACCAGCCTATTCTGAGGAGATTAAAAGGCTTTAAACTCTGCTAATCAGGGAACTCATTGAGTAACTGAGATTGCATGCCAGGTCACAGAACTCTGTCATTTTAAAATTGTCAGAGGACCACAGAGACCATCTCAGGAGTTGTTTGCATTTAGACTTTCCTCAGCTGCCATGGTTAGTATTTAACAAACTAAAAGATTAAGTTTCGCTCATCATCCTGGACCGAGCTGTTTCCCGTGGACCTTCCAAGCCTTTTTATGAACCTAGTGACACTAACATCTACTCTATGTGACTGTGATTGTTAGATAAACAGAGCTGAATCCAACCACATTAGATAATCAGACTCTGAACTACAGGCCATGTTTTTCCACTCACTTATGCTTTCATGGTGATGAGAATATCCATGATGTGAGGCTTAATATTTATAAAACAAAACTAACATTTCAACTGAAGACTATATATAAATGTTATCTTTAAATCAAGCCAAGATAAGCCACATGCAGCAAAATCTATCTGGTCCATCTTCCTCTTTTAAACAAAACAAAACAAAAGAGCTAACATAACAAAATCCTTAATCATAAAAAGGTGCATTTAGCATCCAATAAAAGAGTGGAATGTTGTCTTATCAGCAGGTTGCCTTGAAAACTTGAATGGCGCTAAAGTTGGGTAGAAAAGCGAAATAGTGAAATGGAAAAAAATTAGCTTGAGTCCCTTGAAATGACTGAAAATACTGGAGTTCTGGTTCTGGTAGAGTTCTGCAACATGCAGTTGTTCATCTGCTCTAAAAGAACTCACACCATTCCTTCTTGCATCTTAGCACTCAGGATCTTAATGAGCTAAAATCTTTAAATGAAAGTAGTTCACATTTTTCATTCTTATTTGTGTAAATAATATGATATCCGAGTCCCTGCTTATAACTTCTTTTTCATTTTTTTCATTAATGGATCTTAGAAAAACTGTTTAACAAACTTTAATTCCTTTTTTTTTTTTTTTTTTTTTTTTTTTTAGCAAAATGACTCCAGATAAATCCAGGGTGATGAATCCACCATCCCACATGCAGGACTGTGCTGGCTAAATTTTGTTAGAGGCTGTGTTCATACTAGAGAAAAATGCTGATGCTTCATGCGGCTGTGCGACTCAGCAAACTTCTGTACAGGATCCAACAACCTGCTGGTTTGTTATTCTTTACCAATAAAGCAACCTGCTTGTTTGTATATATTTATGTGTGTCCTCTGTTGTGTTAACTGGCGCTTCAAGAAGATGTCTACGCTTTTCCACAAGGTGGCACTATAACTCTTCACATCCATAGATTTAAATCAAGGAATAAAAAAACTAATTTCATCTACCAATCAAGTCCATTTGTTTCACACCAAATTTGTTTTGCCATATTTCAGATTCCCACTGAAAGCCGAGGTAAATTAAGTTCAAGGTAATTTGCATCG